TGATCCTTATCATTCCTTTTACCGGTTTGCACAGGGAGAGGGATGCCAAAAGTCTGACTGTTAAAAAATATTTCACCCCTTTGCTGGCATGTCAGGCTTCTGGGTTCCCCTCCCCTGAGCTCAATTATAAGCCAACCAGTTTAAGGGTTGGGAAATTAACTTTTTAGTCTGAAGGATGCATCTGACAGGAGTGTCCTGTAGTATGGAGACACAGTTACCCGTCTGTGAAGAGAGGACCAAGGGGAAAAAGAAGGCATTTTTTTCAAAGGAGCACTAGGACTCAGGATGCAGCAGTAAGGGGCCAGACTGAAGACAAATGGCTACTCATCTAGAAGGAGGGGAGCAAGGCATCCCTGGTTCCTTTCTCTTCCTAGCGAATGCCTGCAGCATGAGAAAGAGAAGGAAAAAGCTTCCTCTTTCCTTCTTTCATCCTATATCCCTGAGTCCTGGTGACCACGACAGGGTGCCACCAGTGGGTGTCAATGTGGCTTTCACTCATGTTAACAGGAGGGCCTAGGGTGTGGAATTACCTACAGTTCCCCACACACTGCCTTTCCCCTGCTATAAGTAGCCTTTGAGTTCCCTAAACCTCGTGTATGCCATGGATACCTGCATGACCTCAATCCATGAAACAGGGGGTTTGGCTTAACTCCAGGAATTAGTTATGCTCATCTGTGGTGTGTGCCTTTTAACTACCATTGTTGTCTGCCTTGGATCCCTGAGATCCAGTTTTCTTTCCTAGGGCTTCAACCCAAAGCTTAGAGTTGAATTTGAGACAAAAGAATTACTTCCCTATCATAAGTCAAACGCTCAGGTGAAGCTCTAAAATCGGATCCTCTCAAACAAGGGAGGTAAAACGGTGTCTCGTGAATTGGAGTCCTGGCCTAATAAAACACCTTTCAAGAAAAATCCTCTGGCATTGGGAAGCCCCCTGTACTCACAGGGGTGTGTTATTAGGTTGTTGCAAAAGCTATTGTGGTCCCCTCCAATCTAAGTAATAGCAAAAACTACAGCTACCTTCACACCAATCCATTAACTCCTGATCTGGTGGAGAAAAGAAAAAAAACAAAATAACACCAAAAATCCAGTTTAAGCATAGGGCAGTGAAATGCCTGGGGAAGAAACCTCTTGTTTTTATACAAATGGATTTCTCCAACAGGGAGAGAGACTTTTCATTGCTGTCCACCGAGCTAGACCTCTTGGCCAGGGGAGGGGAAGTATATGGTTGTATGGATGTGTGTCAGGGAACACTGGCCAGCTGGCTGCACACAAGATTGCCCTGGGGCCCAGGCAGCACCTGTGGCTCAGTCCCACCCTGCATGGCTGTTGGAGGCTGAATGTACATGCGGCAGTCACAACCATGTACCCCAGCAGGGAGTGAACAGGGGGTGGAGGCAGGGAGCCACTGCTTGCCTGTTTTCTTTATGTGATAGCTGTTGGGTTTGGGATGGAACACCCCTGATATTGTAAAAGAAAAGATTGGTAACATTACAGTCCTGAAAAACAGAAGAAAAATGCCATAGCAAAGACTGGGTTAGGCTGTGGCCAACATTCCCAAACCCGAAAGCAACGGAGAGGGTGAAGTTTCCTCTGCCTTCAGAGAAAGCCTGAGGACTGGAAGGCCCAGAAATGAAAGAGATTTGGGGTTCACATTTTACTCACCCTCCCTCATGTCCCCATATAGGCTACCAAATGATACAGGAATTTTTGCTCCTTAGTTTTCAGCTAAATCCGGGTACTTGTCACACAACCAGGAAAAATTAAGCATGCGGACACATTGAAGGGTGAAGAGGGTGGAATTTATTAAGAGAAAGGAAAGCTCTTGGCAAAGAGAGGAATACTGCATGCGAGTTTCCACCTCGCAAGTTGAATACCAGGCCACCATACATGAGCTCAAGAGGCCAGGATTCTCCCCCGCTTAAGGGTTGAATTTCTGGTGGCTCCACCCCATTTTTCCAGTGCACATGTGGGCCCTTGGTCAGAGCCACACCACATTGATTTACTTCCCTTACTGAGAACTTGTTAAGGGACAGAATTTTTCGCCATGGACATGTTTAGACAGGCGTCCTGTGCGTAACAACCTGGGCAGATTGGAGGTTCTCTGCGAATATTCCCTTATCTGACTAGATGTTTGTCTGTGTCCTGCCTCCATCATTAGATATTAAAGTTCATTTTTCCTTTTGGTTGGCTATTTTTCTAGCTTTCATCATTAAACTACAGGTGGCGATTTTGATGAGCTTCTATATGGGTTCTGAAAGGATGTGTAAAGAGCACACGCTTAGGATTTGGCAGATTTTTCCTTTAAAAGAGCAGATAAATTCCTTGCTCTGTATCAGTCAGGTGGTGAGTGGAGGTATTGGGATTTAAAACACAATTGTTTTATTCTGAACTCTTTGTTTTTGTTTGTTTCTTATGTTACCATGTTAAAATCTTGGCTTGAAAGAGCTGTTTTAAGGTATAATTATGTTCCAAAAGCAGATCCAGAGAAAAGCTTTCAGCAATTTCTAGTCCTTTGCTTCTTCTAGAAGTTCACATTTTATTACCGGCTTTTAAAACAGCAACAAGGACAACAAGGAACCATGCAGGGCTTGTTAAATTCATATGAAAGCATGTGAAATAACGTGGCTTTGAGGCTTCTTCTTAAAATATTATTTGGAATTATGAATTTTTAAAATGGAGATTCTCTACACAGAAATTTATTTAATTACATACAGTGATTACTATGTGCCAGATGTCATTCTGATGCTTTAAAAATAGTAAATAATGTGTTTCTCCTAACAAATCAAGCAGTAGGTACTATTATTCTCATTTTATAGATGAAGAAATTGAGGCATGGAGAGCTTAAATTGTTCATAGCCACACAGCTTGTGTTGGATTCAAGAGTTGATCCAGGTAGTCTGACTTCAAAGATCATGCTGCTTATCATCTGTTATATTGCTAAACAAAATACTGACTATGGAAGACCTAGGAACAGAAGGAAGTTACCATAAGTAACTTTGCTTCTAACCACAATGCTTGTGAATGTTTTCATTCCACTGATTTCCTGCAACTTTGCAGTAACATCAACTCCTGGTTCCTCACGGGCCTTCATAAAAGTGGAAGATTAGCTATCAATGTTGGTCACTGACCCAAATGAATGTGGAATACTTGACTTTACTAGGTTGTCTCTAAGGAGCATTCTTAGTAAGAATAGGTGCTCCTGTTTCAAGAAACTTTATTTGGATCCGGTGTCTGACTGTTGGCCTAATCACCATGTTTTGAAATGTTGGCTGCATTCCTTGTAGTGAATTGCTTTTTTGGAAGTAATTCTCCGACGTAAGGCTATTCTTAACACTTTTTATATTATTCAGAGTTTTTAGTTATGTAGTTCACACTACTAGTAGAATTGACAATATTCTGTGGTGATGGTGGTAATTTATTTAATATGGAAGAAAATGAAGTCTTTTTACTGCCACCAAAATAAATATCTGAAGTGTTCTTGAATGAATCAATGAGCAAAATGAAACTAAATTAAAAAATTAGATTAAGGCACAGGCAGAGTCTTGGAACTATTAATAATAAAGTTTTGGTCTCATTGTTTTATTACCTGAGATTACATTAAGTAAAAAAAGCAAACATCATACGTAAACTTAATTGGCACATGATCAAATCTGTAAAACATTACTGTCTCTAATGATATTCCTGAATATTGTATTTAATTTTAGGTTTGTCACAAATAATACGATAATAAATGTGGTCATGCTCCATATATTTCCCCCAGTATTATTACATAGTAAGAACAAACATTCTATTCCAAAATTAATTTTATTCTTACCTGCCAGGAATTTGAAAATAAAAAACCAAGAGCATCAGCCACCCAAATTTCCTCCTTGCCCTATGTTTAGTTCCATCTCAGCACATTAAACTGGGTTAAAAAATAGTGCCCTTCAAGAGCTCCTTATAAGGCCCATCCCTTGCACTCTCTTGGTCTGACATATGTGGCTTTATTCCAGCCTCGTCTCTGGAGGTCTTCTAGTCCTTTCAAATGTGCTTCTGGATAGAATCCAAGACCACTCCGCTGGCCTTCCTCTCCATGTGGTCTATATCTGTTTCCCAGAAAATACTCATGCACCATTGTTCTTGCAGTCACAAGGAGTTTTGGCCAACTTAAAATAGTACCATTTTCTGGCCTTTGTCCCCAAAGTACCCATATGCTTGTCCTCAGTTTCCCTGGCAGGAGTCAGTTTCTGGCCTACTGTCTTCATCTGCAAGGAGAAACCAAGTTCTTCACTGTGGCTCCTGTGAAATGCTCTAATTAAGTGTAAGGTTGGAAGTTGTCTTCCACCACAATTTCCCCTAATGGGTATGGAGATCGTCAACACCACCACAATTCTCTCCAAATAATTATTTATATGCTTCTACAATGAGTATCAGAGTAAGATCTTAAAATATGTTTCTTTGGAAAGCATGCATATGAAGTTTTAGAAGGCTGTATCAATTGAGCTTGGCATTTAGTTGAAATGTTAAGGTTAATCTCTTTTTACATTGTCAAAAGCAATAATCACTATTAGTGACAAGCAAAAAAGATAGAAAATTCCTTTCTCTCTGAGTGCCTGCTGTATGTATGTGTATGACTCTGTATGGGCTTGTTCACATTGATAGCCTGATTTAATCACTGCAACAAATATGTGGGGTGGGATTATTATTCCCAACTTAGAGAGGAGGAAACAAAGTTTCAAAGAGTAAAATTTTCCAGGCATTACAGATACTGTGGAAACAGAAATATCTCACTAGAAAGTTCTTTCTCTTCCTGCTATGTCATCACAGGTAAGAGGTACATATGCCACTGCCAATGTTAGCCCAGGATGGCCCATCGTATTTCTCAAATAGGCACCTTCCTTTTGCTAAGCTTGGATATAAAAATTGTTTGAGGTCATTTATTCTTTTAACAATTTTGAACACAGCACAAAATTTTATCATTTGGTTGGATCCTAAAATATATGTTTAAATTTTTTTTCCAGACAATAGATTTTGAAGGTTTCAAACTATTCATGAAGACATTCCTGGAAGCTGAGCTTCCTGATGATTTCACTGCACATCTTTTCATGTCATTTAGCAACAAGTTTCCTCATTCTAGTCCAATGGTAAAAAGTAAGCCTGCTCTTCTATCAGGCGGTAAGTATGCTTACTTTAAACATTTATATGTAGTAAAAATCTCAAAGGCTAAATAGTTTTCATAAAAGATAAATGATGATTTGCATAAAAATTGTTTTGTTGCAGGATTTAGACATTCATAATAAGATTGTGGAAATCATTTAAAAGGTTTCCAGTATAATTATAGCTAATTAGAAAAAAATATATCTTTATCACTTGCTTTAGATTTCTATGTTTAGGTAATAATTTGAAGAAATATTTTCATCAAATATAAAGACCTGCTCTTTTTAAATAACTAGATAAGTATAGATTGCTGAGTATTTGAAAATGTGGTCACAAAGCAACTGTAAAAAACGTATAATATTTAATATCTGTTGTACTAATTTCCAGTATACTTCACATGTTTAGATTTGCAAGCTCGGAAGAGAGATTTGATTTTTTAGACACCTTAAATTTGTGTCACCATAGAAATGGTGGTTCTCTCTTTATGGGTGGCTTTTTAGAGATACATAATTACGTTAATACCTGTTGTATTAATCTCCCTCCAGTCAGGAAAACAGCAGTTTCACTATGTTAACCCAAAAGAATGTAAAACAGGAAATTGGTTAAACTGTTTTGGATGATTGAAAAGGCAAAAAGAGAACACAGGTGATGTAGATAGACCCCAGGAAACCTGTGCTGCCCCTAGATGGCAGTAATCAAAACCCAGAAGCCCTGAGGAAGGATTTCTTGAAGCAGGGATGCAGTTCTGAGATGAGGGGGTTGCCGGGTGGACGTCGCCCTTGGGCTTCAGTGGAAATGATACTTCCTGGCCGCCTTGATAGCTCAGGAATTCAAGACGGGTCTATAGCACAGGAACTCAGACCTCTGAGGAGGGTGCATCACCATGGCCTGTCCCAAACTGCTTAGCGGAGAGCTCATTGTGCCTTTGTCAGCCGGCAGACTAGATCCTACACTGGACAACGTGCTACTGGCCTGAAACGCTGCAGAGATTCAACAGGAGAAACAGGTTATTCGGTGGAACCAGACTCTTCCTGCTGCCCCCGCTCCCCTGCGCACCACTCTGCTGCCCCCATCCCCGTGCCCTCTTGTCTCTCTCTAGTGCCCTCTATGGATGGAACAGGAATCCCCTGGCAATGAAGAAATGCCTACGGCAGCGTTTCTCATTAGCTGATCACAGGACGCTTTGAACTCAAAAAAAAATTGAAGACCTGAAGAAACTTATTTTTATGTGGCTAATTTCTATTGATTCCCCAATAGATATCACCATATTGATACAGATATCACCATAATGATATAGCTGTCACCATATTTAATATTTATATTTCACATTTACTATGGTGATATCTCTTGATTACCCAATAGATATCACCGTATTAAAGGTGAAACATTCCAAAAATAATCAACCCACTACCTATTAACAAAAAGTAACTAATTCTTATGAAAAGTAACTTTTCAAAAATGAAAAAAAAATTGAAGGGTAGCATTGTTTTGCGTCATTGCAAATCTCTTTAGTGCCTGACTTCATGGAAGACAGCTAGGTAATTATATCTGCTGCTGTTTCTGTTGCTGTATCATATGTCATATAGCCTCTTGAAAATGTCACTGTACACGGTAAAGAAAATGAGAGTAAGAAAAGCAACTGATAATATGATTATGGAAATTATTTTGACCTTAAAAATCTCCTACAAGGACTTCAGGGATCCCAGAAAAGCCATAGGTCTAGAGAGACCCAGCTGTAGCATCACAAAGTAGAATATAGAAGTGTTGGTTAATAGGCCTGGATCGGTGGCTCACATCTGTAACCCCAGCACTTCGGGAGGCCACGGTGGGCAAATCATGAGGTCACGAGGACAGGAGTCTCAGAGTAGCCTGGCCAACATGTTGAAACCCCGTCTCTACTAAAAATACCAAAAAAAGTTAGCTGGGCGTGGTGGCAGGTGCCTGTAGTCCTAGCGGCTCGGGAGGCTGAGAAAGGAGAATCTCTTGAACCCGGGAGACAGAGGTTGCAGTGAGCCATGATCACACCACTGCACTCTAGCCTGGGCGACAGAGTAAACTCCATAAACTGCACACACACACTTTGTGCATGCGTGCACACACACACACACACAGAGGAAGTATTGGTAAAGAGATAAATTCAATAGCAGACATTCTGATAATAAAAATGCAAGAACATGTAATTAAGAAATAGGTGGTTAAGCCATAAGCAAAACTTACACAATATGAAGAAGAGTTAAAAGTATTTAGCCTTCCCCACTTCCTTTTTTTTTTTTTTTTGGAGACAGAGTCTCACTCCGTTGCCCAGGCTGGAGTGCAGTGGCTTAATCTTGGCTCACTGCAATCTCCACTTACTGGGTTCAGGGGATCCTTCTGCCCCAGCCTCCCGAGTAGTTAGAACTACAGGTGCTAGGCCGGGCGCGGTGGCTCAAGCCTGTAATCCCAGCACTGTGGGAGGCCGAGGCGGGTGGCTCACAAGGTCAAGAGATCGAGACCATCCTGGTCAACATGGTGAAACCCCGTCTCTACTAAAACTACAAAAAATTAGCTGGGCATGGTGACGTGTGCCTGTAATCCCAGCGACTCAGGAGGCTGGGACAGGAGAATTGCCTGAACCCGGGAGGCGGAGGTTGCGGTGAGCCGAGATCGCGCCATTGCACTCCAGCCTGGGTAACAAGAGCGAAACTCCGTCTCAAAAAAAAAAAAAAAAAAAAAAAAAAAAAAAAAAAAGAACTACAGGTGCGTGCCAACATGCCTGGCCAATTTTTGTATTATTAGTAGAGACAGGGTTTTGCAGTGTTGACCAGGCTGGTCTCAAACTCCTGGCCTTAAGTGATCTACCTTCCTTGGCCTCCCAAAGTGCTGAGATTACAGGCATGAGCCATGGTGCCTGGCCTTCCCTTCTATTAATAATATATCTTTCCTAAAGTAATCACATGTTGGTAGAAGCTTTTTTAAAACAAGTGTACATATTTCACAAGTTCACGTATTCCACATATTCCTTCAAGGTGTCTGATGACTAATATGTTTGTCATCGTTTTTCTCTTCTTATAAAATATTTTTAGTTTTTGAAATAATTATCTTTCAATCATGAGTTGAGAGGCCTCACCACAGTTGCTGTTTTTCTCAGGATGAGTTTCAGTGGATTTGTTCTTAATGAGTAGTATTCCAGTTTAATAGTGTTTTGAGCTGAACATTTAAAAATTATTCAATTCCTTACTTTAATCTAGAAATTAAAAATTTCCTGTTCTCTGCTGCATGCTATAAATGTATCACACATACCTTAAATTGAATTAAATAAGAAAGTTGTACTGCATTTAATTCTACATCATGTGATACTGTTTTTGAATTTTGAGAAAGAAGAGAAAATATTTCTGCATGGTGTTGTCTGTAAATAACTGTATCACACACAGAAGAAAGAGAACAATTCTGATAATTAAGGTGATTTTGTAGGAAATTCAAACCTAAAACTTCCATTTCTTCTCATAGCATATATTAAGTACTGAATATAAGATGCCAGACTTACTAGGGGTAAAAATTAAATCATGTTTCAAAATGTAAAAAAAATAAGGAAAAACAGATTGTACTTGATTTGGGACAATTATACATTCTACACAGACATAAAAGGATTATGGGCTGTGTAACTCTCATGCAGCAATTATAAATTAAACTCTGATTCCTTTTCAAAGCTTGGCCTCCACTTATTAAAACTAAGGACGTTGTGTCCTCTCCAGGATTATTTCTAACCCTGTATTTTTTTCAGACCCACCATTGACAGTTTTTTCCTGATGAATAGGAAACGATAGAAAACAATAAAATTTTCAAGACTGAGGTAAATTGGACTCAGAAACTGACAAAAGAAATGTCTTTCAATTCATAGAATCTTGCTTTGCAGTAATCTGTTATTTAATGTATAACAAGATGTTTTTGTAGCTGAAAAGTAACAGACTTTTGCCAGGCACAGTGGCTCATGCCTGTAATCCCAGCACTCTGGGAGGCTGAGGTGGGTGGACCACCTGAGGTCAGAAGTTCAAGACCAGCCTGGCCAACATAGTGAAACCTGTCTGTACGAAAAATGCAAAAATTAGCTGGGCGTGGTGGTGCACACCTGTAATCCCAGCTGCTTGGGAGGCTGAGGAAGGAGAATTGCTCTAACCTTGGAGGCAGAGGTTGCAGTGAGCCAAGATCATGCCACTGCACTCCAGCTTGGGGGACAGAGTGAGACTCTGTCTCAAAAATAATAAATAAATAAATAAAAATAAAATGAAATGATATAAAAAAAAAAAGCCAGGCTTTTGAACAGATAGGGGCTATGCTCTGCTTTGTTTATACTCTTAGAGTTCACCATATTTCATTACCACAATACCAGCAGGAATAGAGTAGCTATTCTTTTACTCCAGTTAGCAGCTAAAAAATAAGGGCTTTTCCATAAAAAAACAAAGCCGAAAAGGAAAAAAAAATGTTATGCTCACTAATGAATGATAATTATAGGATATCTGGTCAAAGTAAAACATTTAGTTTTATACAATACAAATTTAAAAATAATTCTAAACAGGTATAAAGGTTGTATGTGTGTATACATGTGCATATGTATACCTGGGTTTTGCTGATCGTAATGTGTAATGATCTGTTTGACATTTCACAAAGTGGATGACTAATTTTTATAAAATAACTTGTTGTAATATAATTGCTTCTTATCACTGATTTTAAAATAAGGTCACTTCTTCTACTGTTGCCCTATTTGACTTTTTATTTTTGAAGATATCCCTAATGCATTATGTCTTCAGCTTTTTCATAACACTTTTGCATCATTGTAAATGTCAGGTCTCTAATATCTCATCTCTGCCCATTCAATGACTAATTTCTGATCTTGCTTTCATCCTTAGCATCTGCCACTTGAATTACCCCCTTTATACACTTTTCAGTTCTGTTGGAATCTTTATTCTGCTGCAACATGATTGCAGAAAATGGCTGAGGCTCACAATCTCAACCACGAATCAAAATTGTGATCTCCTATGTCA